TCATCTCTCATCTCCCTCTCCTCCTGCTGCCCCTGTTCTTTCCCACCATTCAGAAGTCACTGAGGAACTGTAAAACATTTACCCAAAAAGGCAGTCAAAAGTCTTTGCTTCTGCCCAGCTACAGGCTGAACTGGCATTAAAAAATAAATTCTGTCAGGCATGTAAGTTCCAGTGGCAAAAAAAGCTGAACAACTGGAATTTTTTTACACAGGATTGCACACATACTTTATTTTGGGAAATATATTAAAAATTGTTTCTTAGTCTAGAATATCTATACAGAATTCAGAATATGGAGAGTGTGCTTTTAAACTCAAGTTTTTGTCAAATGTACAAAAACATTACAGACACAGACTTGTTAATCAAAGCACAGTAAATGGATGCCATTTTTCAACAGTTCAAAACAGTCTCTAAACCAGTGCAAATTTTATTGCATTAAACTGCCCAGCTCACTTAATAAATTCATAATTTATTCACACTACATCATTTCATCCTCGTTAAAACACAGTTTATTTTAAGCTCCTAAAAGGAGTTTAATGTGCTTCTAAAAAAAAACAAAACAGCAAACAATCCCTTTTATTTGCACCATTGGTCGATGCAGACTGAAAGAACAAATAAAAATGCCATCTGTTCCCCTCATTGTATGCACCACAAGATACAGCACAGGAGTACAGAACTAGAGCCCAACTCAACTATTCAGTCTCAAGGCATAGAAGTTACAAGGGTGTTTGTTTTTTTTTAAAGGTCCATAATGAAAAGCTGATATACAGAATGCATTTTAAGGCTTTTTATTGGTTGAAAGAAACAAAAAACCATCTCTGTTGAAAATGTACAGTTTTGTGAATAAGATGACCTGGATTATCATTTAATAAAGTTATCTGCATTGAAATACTTGTTGAATTAAGAGTTTTTAAAAGAGAAAACTACTGAGTGGATTCTTCAGTTACTTAAAATTACAACAAATTGTTAAAAAATATAATTCCTGTGATCTAATTTAATATACATTCTTAAAATATCCCCTATGTTGCAGTTACTCAAGGAAAGCAGTAAACTCAATGAAAGGTATATTCTTCTAGCTGGCAGCAATACAAAAAGCCATTAATTCACAGTTAAAATGGAATAAAATTACTCATTCACAAGTGCAATGTAGCTTGAGCTTAACCAATGTGAAATTCCACCAGGAACAAGACTAAGTTACTTGCAAAACGAATTAATTTAGTTTGGAACACATATACTAAGTAAAATATTTTCCATTATAATTGTATTGTCTAAACTCGAGTCATATAAAATGTGAGGACAGGATATGGCTATAAGTAACATACAGATGCTTCGAGTAACATGTAAAAGCTGGTACCTATTCTGTGCTGATACTGCAGCCACATCAGTCTCCTACACCTAAGGGGTTTTCAGAGTTGTTATGTTTTGGTGATGTGCCAGAATATCATTCATAGAGAAAAACTTTAAAACTTGAGAATCCTGACTATAATCTTTTAAGACCTCATTTCTTGTTTTAATTCTATGCCCCAAAAATAGCTATTTTCATATGAGCACACAAGCTATATATGTAACTGTTTTATAGCTGGGTGAAAGGTGCAAGATAGCATCTCCTCAGCATAACTGACTGCAGTTCCACATCCGTAGGGCAACAATTCAAGGAAGCTTCTCTGTGATAACTGTTATTCCAACACAAACTTCCCAAGTTCTTGGGCGTACCTGAAATTCATTGTTTGTGTCCACATACATAATCAGGTTGCTTTACACCCTCACTTTGTGCACACATTGCAGGGTTCAAAGTTAATGCTGACCTGAAAACATTTTCTTCAGCTTGTAAGCAAGAATTCCATAATACACACTGAACAGTCACCTCCTCCTGACCACTAGCTGTTGAGCTACCAGAGAAAGTATTTGAAGGCAAGAGTTTAGCAAGTGAGCAAGATGCTACTTTTTCTGTTTACACTGAGAGGAAAACAGAACCAAAACCAAGTTTATCCACACTCCTCCTTCACACCACTTTGCCCAGCTCAGTCATGTATTATGGATTCAGACAAATCTGGACTACTGGGAGTGGGGTGTCAAACAAATTAGAAGCATTTGTAGGTAACTAAGTCATTCCCATGTAGCCCAAGGAGTTCACGCTGTTGGTAACTTGCAGAAAAATGTGCCTTTAGTGCCCAATTTTCAAAAACCTGTTTGCAATGCACTCACAAAAAAAACTGTTGAAGCTTTTCCCTGCTTATTTTTGGCCAGATTTTCAACTATAGGAATGCTAAGCTATTTTATGCCATGCTCTTTTCTTATGTAGTACTTTCAGCATCCAAATTAGGGAAGCTTACATCTCAGAAAGTCTGTGCAGGAAAACCTGCAGTTTCCACCTGTTTGCAGGAGGAGACACAGAAGTCAAAGGAAGAGCAGCAAGTGCCACTCTGCATTTGAAAGGTACAAAAGCAATGAGGGGAAAAAAAACTACCTGGTTCTTAAATACTGTTATTTTTTTGTGTGCACTCTGACTTTTTTCCCCCCCCACAGAAAAAGCATCTTCTGAGATGAAAACAATAAACAAATAGCTTTTAGAGATCTCCCTTTTCATTTGAGCTATGGATTTCTTTCAACAACAGCTGATCAGTTAGTTATTAAAACACTAAGCATTAAAAATTCCCTATCAAAAAGAGTAAGTTCTTGCTTTTTTCATTCTATATTAAAGAATCAATTCCAATATGCAGATTCAAGATTTCAAGTAGTTACATGCAGGACTAACACCACTCTGAAATCCAAGTACATACAACAGGAATAGAAGTTCGTTTGTAGTGTACGAAAATGCCAAGATGCAGGAACACATCAAAGCAAGCTCAATCCTGCAGCTCTCCCTTTCCCCTCAGGCTTAAGTTTTATGGAGTTTTGTTTGTTTAGTGTATATACCTGGGAAAAGCTTAACATTTAGCACTAGGGGTTGCTAAACCTGCTTTGCTGTCTCAACACCGCTACCTGACTAATCTACATTTTCAGCAACAGATGGGAAGGTTGGCTTGAAATGAAGGTGATGTGTTTACGGAATTTGGTTTACAGTAGTATTATTCACAATGTTTTTAAATCATTTGGATGTCACCAACTGTCTAAACCATCACTCACTACACAGATTTTCCTGGCAATTTAATGAGCTGGGAGAATTTAACCGATAACTAAAATTTGATTCCTTGCAAGTTGCATCACATAATCATATGGTTTGTCCACTTAAGGCTCAAAAAATAGTCTTGTGTAGGTGAAGAAATCTGTAGCATTAAGTTGCCTGGACGAATACTTTAGACAGACTTTTACTTTCAAAGGATGGAACCATGCAAGTCAGTTATGTAATAGGAGAAGAGAGGAAAAGATGAAGAATCAAGGCCTATTCTTTCACTGTGTTGTAGGTCAGACATCAGCAAGCAAATATGCATAAAAACCAAAGAATAAGGAATTAAAAATAAAAAAAGTCAGTATGTGCTTTCTTGCTTTTAACTGTTGAGAAAACACAATAGTTTCATCAGGAGAGAATCTGTCCAGGTAATATCCCCATATTAACTTAGGATCAGCACTTTCAGACAAAACACCAGGAGTCAGTCTACAATGTGAATGTATTTTGTCACGAACAGTGCAAATCCTTAGTTTTAGCCTCATGAAAAAACAAAAGTTGGTTTTATTGTTTCATGTAAAAGCTATTCCAGACAGATCTCCATCCCTCATCATTTGCAAGAAAGAAAATTTTTCAGAAAGCCGTACGAAGTAAGTACATTCATACCCAGATGCAAGGAAGAGTTTTAACTATGCTCCTTTAACATGCTACAAATCTTCTCTTTTTTTTTTCCTCTGGGAATTATTCCATGGGAAAAGCCACTCAATTAAATTTCAGCAAAGACCTGGAATAAATCTTATCATATTCTTCAAGTAACAGAAACATTTAAACTGTTGACCAGTATCCAGGCTCTCCTTGCCAAGACTATGACTACTGTAGTCAGTTAAATATGTGAGGTGAGGAAGTGTCTCATTTACTAGAAGCAATCCAAAAGATGGATTCATTTTTTCAGATCATACACCGAAGTACTTCATTTCTGCTAATATACACCTTGAAGACCACACTTATAAATACATTTCAAATTGAAATATTGAATTTGGACTATCAGTGCAAAACAATTAACCCACAGGCTAGTGTGAAACCAAGGGAGAGGGTGATAAAGAATTCCAGGAACAGACACTTTTTATGCACATATGCATACAGGATAAAGGATAATCCTTTCAGGCTGTGTCTGTTGACAATCCTTGTATGTATCCTAATGCTATTTGAGCTTCTTACCTAACTTTAAGAGAGCAATTCATTTCTGAGCTGCTGAGTGTACAAGCCTAACCTCCTCTTGGAGAAAGCAGCCAGTATGTTTATAGGATCTCATAGTTTGTCAGATAGAGAATACAGGAAAGCTGAGTGTATGTTTCTGGTTTTTTCACAATTATTAGAAGAAAAGGTCAGCCAAAGATAGTGTAGACTAATGACTGGGGCAAGGGTCAGGAGAACGGCAGCAATTACAGATACTGTGATCTGACAAAAGCATCTGCCTTGCAGTTTCCAATCCAAGGTCTCATGTATTTACTGCATACTGCAATACATATGCAGTACATCATACATGCATACTGCACATGAATAAAAAGATCCCTCATTAGGTAAAGGTAATTTTAAAGAAGCAATGAAGAATCTAAGTATTCTGTGGCAGGGAAGGTATTTCATTAAAATACACAAATACTTGTGGCCCTTAAGGAAGTCCCCAACTATAGCTGCTTCATCATCTCCTTTTTGAATGACTTGATATTGCAGTGTAAAATTTTGAGGAAAGGAAAGAAGAATAATGTACAGGGGGGAAAAGCAGATCAACCAATGAAACTACCTCACCCTATTAATAATGTTTACAAACATATTTTAATGGACTTCACAATGTGCCTCATGTTGTCTCTCTGAAGTTTAGTGTGTGTCTTCCCCATTTTTATATAAAAGGTGCTCCAAAACACTTCCGACAACACTCAACTCGGCTGCTTGGTGGAGCATCTATTTTCTGCATCTTGTCAAGAACTTCCTTTGGTAGTTTTTCATGTGCAAGTCTGTATTCACTATCAAAGACCTCTGAAAGGAAAGAAGCATAGTTGAAGTTATTTCAGAGGCACTGCACAGCGCACACTACTGCTCCTACTGCTCCTGGTGATTTTTATGTGCTAATGAAGTTATCTTCACTAACTAGCTGCTGATTTTTCTTTTATAAAATGCACTTCTCAGAGGACCTGAAAAGCATCTTCATAAGATGTGTTGGGCATCACAGCACATTACAGTGGACTGTCACAGTCCAGTCTGCCTATTCTCAAGGTTATTTTCCTGTGACTCCCATGGGAGTCACTTTGCTTGCATAGTACCAAATTGAAGACGTGGTAGAGGAAATCAGCAGGGGTAGGAATTCAAGTGGCCAGAGCATATCAGTCTAATATATGGGTCTCAGAAAGATGGACAAACTTTCAAACATGAGGAATCAAAGCTTCAAGCTAATATTCTTAGTTTAAAATAACTGACTACTGGCTTCAAACAGTCAAAATTAATGGCCCCATCTGAATTACATTTACATCAAAGCAACATCTACTTGAAGACTGAGAGCACAATACTTTCCACTAAAACACAGAAATTGAAAAGCTACTTCAAAGCTCTTGGATAAAAAGTCAATTTTATATGCTAGTTTTCATGTAGAACATTTATCTACTCCATACACAGGCACCATGCATTTCACAGTATTCTTCACTTACCAATGTCAATGTTTTCTTTTCCAAGAGACACCAGAGACAGGAACAGAATTTCCCTGTAAAAACTCCTACGAAATATTTTGAAGAGCAAGTTAATAAAAGCACCAACAATCCTAAGTTTACAAGTCCATACTGAAGACACTGTTCTTTCATTATGTAGTTTCTGCAGTTGTTCTGTTAACCTTGCTGGTGAAGCAAGTGACCAATCTACATAGCTACTAACTTAAAGTTTCCTAATGCCTGAACACTTTTAGTTAATGCAGAAAGCTGTATTATTGCCAAATCCTAGCAGTTACATTTTCTATGAAATATTCCTCTGTCAAATGTGCCATAAAAACTCCAAACAAACAAGAAATATGGAATTAAACACCACTTATTTATTAACTCATTCCTGCCTGAAGGTTAAGACACTGTCCCAGGTTGCCCAGGGAGGCTGTGGCTGCCCCAACCCTGGCAGTGTTCAAAGCCAGGTTGGATGGAGCCTTGAGCAACCTGCCTTGGTACGAGGTTTCCTTCCCTAGAGACTAGATGATCTCTAAGCTCCATTCCAACCCCTAAAATTCTATGACTCTATGAAGTACTATGTGTGGGTTTATTTCAGGCCACCCATAGAGTTTGTTTTCTGTTTCAGAATGTCATGATCTATCTCAGAACTGGATAACACTAAATAAACAGGTTTTATTTTTTCCCTCATGTGTAAGTCATAAAGATGCTTCTCTAGTACACTCTCTTTTCAGTAACTACAAGACACAGAAGCAAAGATGACTTAGCATGGCAGACTTCAAACACATCTTGTATCTGCTGTAATTTACTTCAGATGCTGTGCTTTTGCACGAAGCCCTCCTTGAGTTGCAAGTGCAGGTGGCATAACGTACCATAAAGGATTATTTACACATCTCTCTTTGTGGATCATGCTGCATCTGCTTTTCACAGCCAGTTCTTTTTCTCCAGGCTGCTAGAATTTTCATGTATGTAACTAGGGAGAATATTCCACACATCACAGCAGGATGCTGCACACACCAAAATCTGCATCATTAATACCTGTATTTTTCTTACATATTTGTAAAATGTCTATTTTGACTTGATCTGGATGAATTATGCACCTGGATACAGAATGCACCTGTTTGCAAACATGAGCACAAACAAATACACACAGTTTTTGTTGGGCACACATCAAACCGACCCAGAGGTCCTCATGAAGTTATCAATATGAAATGTATACAGTCTGATCTCATTTGGCTTTGAATGGGGAGAAGGTAAGAAGAGATTATCCCTTTACCTCTGTCGTTTGACATCTGGCTTAACATTCTGTAGCAGGAGATTGATTGGTTTAACAACATCGTTGTGTTGAATACTTAGTTTGATGTTCTCTAACAAAGTGTTTGTTGCCTGCTGATCTTCTGCCAGTGTGGAGGGTCTCTTCTCAGAAGAATCTGGGAAGTACAAATGTACAGACTAGTAAAACAGTACAGATTTACTTGGTTTTTTACTTTAGTAAGTAGAAGGAATTTCAAAAAGTGAGATCCATATAGAAAACCTCTACTCAATCTGCACAAATTTGTTAAAATGGACTTACAGTCCTTACTCCAAGGTTACCTTAAATGAAAGAGAGAGGATACATCCAGTAACCACGTGCAAGAGCTCCCACATGACAGAAATACAAGAGGCTGAAGGGGATCCAGCATCAGATGCTGCCCATGATGATTTGCTAGCTCAGATTTATTGCTGTACTTAAGCTTTAAAAATTAAGTCCACTCCAAAAAGGGTATTCTTATACAAAGGAAAAGAGATCAAACAGTGTCACATTTCTTACCAAAGCAACTTTTCTTATCAAAGCCCTTCTTCAAAGCCACTTACAATTAACTAGTAACTTTGGGATACATACTGAGACAGATAATGCACAGTTGCAACAAATAGGAAATAAAATTATCAAGACATTTCTTGCCATGATTTGTTGGCTAAAATACCACGTTCAGAATAACACTGAACTATTATTTTCTGGGA